TCCCTTGCTTACTCTGCTCTAGTCAAAATGGCAATCTTGTTCAAAACAGTTTGTAATGCACACAAAAAATTTAATTGAAAAATTAAAGGTTATACCTCAATTAAAAAAAAAGGATACAGACATACACAATGGTCAGCAGAAAACAGTTTGATTCTCTTATAAAAATAATATACAGAAAGTTTCATCAGCAGTATCTCAGGAAACTAGAACTTAAAGCAAGAGACTTCATTTAAAAATCAGAAAAAAGGAGGGCATTCATTTCTTAAACTAGCAATTCCTTCTATTTCTACAATTTCTACTCCAGTGCTAACCCAGTACCTCTAAACATTCAGTTAGCAGAGAACAAGCACTCCCCATACAAAAACTTGGTCGATTTTAACTGGGAGGTAGAAATCATGGGAAAAATAAGCCAGCCTTAATCTTTTGGTCTCTACCCAAAAAGCAAACAAAACATAGGGGCTTGATTTAGACTCATGTATGGAATCTAGTGATAATAATAAGAACAACAAGAATATCCACAGTCTTTTTTTTTTTAATACTCAAGAGTCGTTAAGATGATTTATTTATAGACCAAAAAGCTCACAAGCCTGTGCTTTTGTTTTAGCAAACTACATGCAGTAACAATGAAGAATACCCACAATCTTTATGCAGAGGTAGTAAGGTGTGTGTATGTATGTATTTATGTTTGTGTGTGTGTGTGTATATATACATGTGTGTATGATATATATATCATATATATATTAGCGATACTCAGTTTTTTCTGTATACCAGTGCCAGTTGGTAAACTATTATTAATCTGCAACAAGGCAATACAGATACTGAGTGTTCAAAAGTTTTGTAACAGTTTGACTTTGTTGTGATATTTTTATTGTATTTTACAAAAGTATCTGTCTGTACTAGATTATAGTAAAACAAAGTTGACCTTTCAAGTTTGAGAAGTAATGCTGTATATTATATCAGCCCCTGGCATCTGGGACAGTACAATGTAATCAAACACATTAATATTTGTGGCAAAAGATGAATATTCATATTAAGTAGTATAAACAGCCTGTCAATGGAGGTCAGATTTCGCCCTAAAATTCATTACGGGGAAAAACAACAATAAACAAACCTCTGGTTTTCACAGCTTTTTGGATTTAAGAATTGCAGATAAGGGAATGTGGACTACAACAGTGATGACACTAAAAATGATAACAGCAGCAATTATTTATATAATGGCAACTACATGTCAGACGGTATCCTAAGCATTTTTATATTAACTCATTTAATTGTCTCAACTTTATAAGGTAGGTATTAGGCAATCTGGCTCCAGGATTTGTGCTCTATGTTACCCAAAAAAGTAAAAGGCACAGTCTTCCGGGGCCATTCAGGGTGGGCACAGAGAAAAGATACATCTCACCAAAGCTCAAGCATGTCATTCTAACACTACCCAATATAATAACTACTGTTAAAAATCATATCTTGGGGCTTCCCTGGTGGCACAGTGGTTGAGAATCTGCCTGCCAATGCAGGGGACATGGGTTCGAGCCCTGGTCCAGAAAGATCCCACATGCCGCGGAGCAACTAAGCCCGTGCACCACAACTACTGAGCCTGCGTGCCACAACTACTGAAGCCCTCGCGTCTAGAGCCTGTGCTCCGCAACAAGAGAAGTCACCGCAATGAGAAGCCCGCGCACCACAACGAAGAGTAGCCCCTGCTCACCGCAACTAGAGAAAGCCCGCGCACAGCAACGAAGACCCAACACAGCCAAAAATAAATAAATAAAATAAATTTATTTTAAAAAAATCATGTCTTGGAGTCAACAATGCTAATTTAATTTTATATACTTTGTTTATGAAAGCAAAAAGAGATGTATGATGTTTTACCATGAGTTCCATGCAAAACTGCTGATAAATACCCAGAAGAGTTCCAGATGGCTCATGTTTTATTGTATCAGTTAAGAATTGTTATTCAATCCATAAAAACATTTCAGACTTGAAAATTTACACCTAGATTTTAAATAAGAGTAATTCATCTAAAAGGCAGCTATATGGAAAATGCTGCCAAATTAATGATTTTTAACAATTTAGTAAAAACTGTTATTTTGTAAGACCTTCCACAAATACTCTAGCCCAAAGAAGGGAGTGAGAAATCATATTATGGTACAACTGACCTGATACTGTGGCCTTTCCAGAGATGGGGTTTGGTGTGGACACCAGGGATGTAGCACTGATGACAGAGGAGGCAGCAGCCTTGCAGGGTCCCATGGTGGCTGGGCTCACACACACTTGCTGCTGCCCAGAAGTTTTCATTACAGAAGTCATAGTAGACGATGAACTGGGAGCTGTTCCTTCTGACTGCTAACCCACAGGACCAGAAATAATAGATATTAAGAAGAAAGTACTGTAACTTAGAACAGTGACTGCCATGTAGCATACCCAATAAATATTAGCTATTAGCGGGCTTCCCTGGTGGCGCAGTGGTTGAGAGTCTGCCTGCCGATGCAGGGGACATGGGTTCGTGCCCCGGTCTGGGAGGATCCCACATGCCGTGGAGCGGCTGGGCCCATGAGCCATGGCCACTGAGCCTGCGCATCCGGAGCCTGTGCTCCGCAACGGGAGAGGCCACAACAGTGAGAGGCCCGCGGAACACAAAAAAAAAAAAAAAAAAAAAAAAAAAAAAAATTAGCTATAGCTATTATTAGCTACCTATTCAATGTCATGCCATTTAAAAAGACTGCTTCTCTAGTTTGGTGGTTCCTACACTTCCAGATTTCATGGACCAGGAAATTTTTTAAATTTTAAAGCAAGGAGGTATCATAGGATTACCACATTAAAAAAATTCACCACTTATTATATCACTTTATAAAAGGATATTTCAACACACCCCCCATAAGAGGACATAACCTCAGAATGTAAAAGTGGAATAATATGAGCTTTATTAAAAACTCACTATAGGGCTTCCCTGGTGGCGCAGTGGTTAAGGATCCGCCTGCCAATGCAGGGGACATGGGTTCAAGCCCTGGTCCGGGAAGATCCCACATGCCGTGGAGCAACTAAGCCCATGTGCCACAACTAATGAGCCTGTGCTCTAGAGCCCGTGGAGCCACAACTACTGGCCTGCATGCTGCAATTACTGAAGCCCAGTTGCCTAGAGCCCATGCTCTGCAACAAGAGAAGCCACTGCAATGAGAAGCCCGTGCACCGCAAGAAAGAGTAGCTCCCGCTCGCCGCAACTAGAGAAAGCCTGAGAGCAGCAACAAAAACACAACGCAGGCAAAAATAAATAAATAAAATAAATAAAATAAAATGGTGAATTTTATGGTATGTGAATTATATTTGAATTTTTTAAAAAGTAATATGGCCCAATAGTGTGCCTGATGAATATCTTACATTTTTACTGCTTTTATGCTTCATTATGGTTTTCCACTATCATGCTACTTCACCTGTTGCGCAGGACCATTTGCTGAGAGAGCTACAGCTGGGGAACTGGCAGTTGTAATAACTCCTCCTGCTACCCTCAGCATTGTGGTTCCAGGCTTTGAGAGTTGTGAGGTGGCTGGCACAGACTTCAATGTGCTATCAGATATTTTCATTAGAGACGCCTGTGCCCCCGGGGCCGCCTGCAGAAATAAAATGGATTGGAGTAATAAGTTACCCTGGTTAATAGGCACAATTTAATCCTTACCTACATACACCCCCCAAATAGTGCATCCCCAAGAAAGTCTTGCTAATTAAAACTATATGAAGGGGACTTCCCCAGTGGAACAGTGGTTAAGAATCTGCCTGCTAATGCAGGGGACATGGGTTTGAGCCCTGGTCCGGGAAGATCCCACATGCCGCGGAGCAACTAAGCCCGTGCGCCACAACTACCAAGCCTATGTGCCGCAACTACTGAAGCCCACACACCTAGAGCCTGTGCTCTGCAACGAGAAGCCACTGCAATGAGAAGCCCGTGCACCGCAACGAAGAGTAGCCCCTGCCTGCTGCAACTAGAGAAAGCCCGCGCACAGCAACAAAGACCCAACACAGCCAAAAATAAAGAAAAATAACAAAAATAAAGAATAATCAATACACACATGGGTAAATCTCAGAAACATTCTGTTCAACAATAGAAGCTAACATAAAAGACTATATACTATATAATTTTGCTGATATGAAGTTCAAGAACAGACAAAAGCTAATCTATGGGACTTCCCTGGTGGCGCAGTGGTTGAGAATCTGCCTGCCAATGCAGGGGACACGGGTTCGATCCCTGGTCTGGAAAGATCCCACATACTACGGAGCAACTAAGCCCATGCACCACAACTACTGAGGCTGTGTGCCGCAACTACTGAAGCCCAGCACCTAGAGCCTGTGCTCCGCAACAAGAGAAGCCACCGCAATAAGAAGTCTGCGCACCACAACGAAGAGTAGCCCCTGCTCACCACAACTAGAGAAAGCCCGCGTGCAGCCATGAAGACCCAACTCAGCCAAAAATAAATAAATTAAATAAATAATTTTTTAAAACATCTAATCTATGGTGACAGAAAAATGGTGATAGAAAAAAACTGGAAAGAGAAATGAGGGTATGTTTTAGAGTAATGGAAATGCTCTCTATCATGACTGGGATAGTGCTTGCAAGAGCATACCCATTTGTCCAAATTCCCTGAGCAGTATATTTGTGATCTGTGCATTATTCTATGTAAATTATACCTTAATGAAAGGCAACAGCAAACACCTTAGCTGTGGCAGAACAGAAAGAAAGTCACTGCACTGGCTGCAACATGAGCGGATTAGAAGAAATTAGCTAAGATTTTAAAGAACTGCCTAAAGAATTCTGGGGCCTCATACCTGTTTAAAACAGCAAAGAGCATCTGACCAAAGGGAATTTAGTACTCAATGAAACCAAATGCTGGTAATTTGAAAAGATCAACAAAATTGATAAACCTTCTAGCTAGACTGATCAAGAAAAAAAGAGAAGATACATAATTATCAAAGTCAAGAATGAAAAAGGGGACATTACCAAAGATTCTACAGACATTAAAGGATAAGGGAAAATTATGAACAAGTTTGTTCCAAGAAATTCGACTACTTAGATGTAATAAAAAAAAAATTCCTTTAAAGATATAAACTACCAAACCTCCTTAAGACAAAATAATGTGAATAGTCAGTCTTATCAATATACCTATTAAATAAACTGAAATTGTAGTTAAAAACCTTCCCAATTAGGAAAACTGCAAGCCATTACAGCTTCACTGGTGTATTCTGAACGGTTAAGGAAGAAATAATACCAAGTTGACATAAACTCTTCCCCAAAAAGTGAAGAGGAGGGAGAAGTTTCCAACTCATTTTATGAGGCCAGCATTACTCTGATACCAAAACAGACAGAGGGCTTCCCTGGTGGCGCAGTGGTTGAGAGTCCACCTGCCGATGCAGGGGAAACAAGTTCGTGCCCCGGTCTGGGAAGATCCCACATGCCGCGGAGCGGCTGGGCCCGTGAGCCATGGCCGCTCAGCCTGCGCTCCGCAATGGGAGAAGCCACAACAGTGAGAGGCCCGCGTACCGCAAAAAAAAAAACAACAACAAAAAAAAAACAGACATAAATTACAATGAAAACTACTGACCAATATCCCTTGCAAAAATTCAAATTCAATTCAACAATACATTAAAAGAGGATAACGTATCACAACCAAGTAGGGTTTATTCTAGGAACGCAGGGTTGGTTTAACATTTGAACCATCAATATAATTCACCTTATTAACAAATTAAAAAAGAAAAACCATAGGATCCTCTCAAGAGACACAGTAAAAGCATTTGACAAAAATCCAATATCATTTCATGCTTTGAGAACTGCTGATCTACACTGTCATAAAAAGTGCATTATTTGTTGATATCCACACTGTCTATATCCTTCTACACTTTGTTTCATTTGGTAAGTTTTTGAGATTTAGCTATAGATGATTATGATATCCCTCGCCCAGTAAAATTCCCTGTCATTATTCTTCCACCTATGCTAAAAATGCTGCAGAAACATACACCAAACTCCCTATAGCATTTACTTACGATATGGATATCGTGGCTGAAATCACCTACAACACTATTCAGAATCTCCTATATGAAGTCCCTCCAGAGAAATTTTAGAATGAAGTGTCTAGAAAATCTTTGTTTCTTCTAAGAAAATATTGTGTGGTTGTTTTTTCTCCTCTCACAAATAGTGTGAATTTTATAACTGATCATTGTTCTCATTTTGCTTTGGCAAATTTTATTAAATATACAGGACATTACTGTTTGTATATCTAAACAACTCTCTGGTCTTATCTTCTCATTCTACTTATATTTTCCCAAATCTTATGATTTTATTCTTATTTTTCTCTACTATTTTATTGCTTATTTTCTTAGGTAACGATAATTTCTTTGTGGAAAGAGACAAGCTGTAAATATTTGTGTGTGTGTGTGTGTGTGTGTGTGTGTGTGTGTGTGTGTGTATTTACCTGGGTAAACAAAGTGGTTTTTTGTCCAGAGATGACTTTTAACGTTTGCTGTCCTTGTGCAGAGGATGTGCTGACTCCCAGTGTTCCTTGCACCACTGACCCCGTAGTCAGCTGTTTTCCAGATGTCTGGGGTGATGGCTGGCCAACTAAAAACGTGCCCTAAATTATAAACAAATAAAGATCTGATCAGTAATTTGTTAAGTTCAAATGACTTGCTCTGATTCTTTAAATCACAAGGTCCCATATTATAAGCGACAATGCTACCCTTCAATTCTACAACTCATCAAAATGATTAAAAAGAATAGCTCTGCTCTCAGCGTCACTACCAACAGTTATTCCCACTTCTCAAACTTTGCACTGGAGTTACAGAGCAGGCTGCTGGAAGCTCAAGTTTTACAATCTAGTCCCCTCATAGCTGGATTTAATCCTTCAGACTGATAACTATCCACTCTAAGAACATCTAGAACCAAAATTCCATTCCCTTCCTTAGAGAGGAGCCAAGACCAGCGACAAGGGGAAAGAAAGGAGGCAGAAGCCTGTTCCTAATCTTGAATCCAATGGAACTCCAAATCATAACTTGATACTATCTCTCTGGTTACGTCTAGGAGAAAATTTTCAACTGCACATTAATACTATTCCAAATCCACAAGAGGCAACAGCATAGCAAAAATCTTTCAGAAAGATCTGGGTTTAAATCCAAACCCTACCACTAGGCTTAGCGGAGAGATCTTGGATAAGTTACGTAGGTCATTCTGAATGTCCACTCGCTTTTCTCTCAAAATAAAGCAAACCCAAAATAATACAGATTTATAACATGACTAAAATGTTAGTATTGACGCCTGATCCCAGAGCTGTAAAGGTAAATCCACTATAATTAAAGGCAGTCATTAAATAACTGATTTAAAAGATACCAGTCATAAATGAGCAGACCTGAGGGGTTTGCTTGAGGATGTAAGATGTGTACGTCAGGTGCTGGGATATCCCTCCAGGGCCGGCAGGGCTTTGGGCTCCTCCGGCTCCTCCTCCACTGCCACTGCTGCCACCACCGCTACTGGCAGCTGAGCCAGACTGGAGGTCTGAAAACACAACCAATGACAAAGTATTAGGAGAAGGCTTAAGAGAAAAAACAGATGAGCCCAGAGAGATGTTTCCCTTAGGGCTCCACTCCTTCCCTTTCCTTCTTTCCTCCTTTTTTTGTAATATACAAGTTCGTGACAAGAGAGAACTTTCTAACGCTGAAGACTGAAATATATTTACGTTTGACTGAGTGATGGTCGACTAGTTCAGCTCTGAGTACTGTTCTACAATGAAGAACTTATCTTTGCAAGTGTTTTAGCTTAGTTGTGAGAGATCGAGAGTCAGATAGATTTTCTAACCAAGCGTTTTTAACCAACACTTAAATGTGCTCAGAGAAGTGCTCCCAAACTTTCTGGCATCTGATTCAATTTCAGTGAAACTGCTCGAATTTAGTGTAATTTTGCAATAGTCTCTCTTTTCCATCTCCCCCCCTGCTCTGGAAAAAAACAAGACTTTCTTCATATTTATAAAGACTCCAGGCCTTTTTTGCTTTTCAAATTCCACTTTAAAGCCTTTGTACCCTTTTTACTTCCCTTTTGGTGACATTATATATGTAGACTACACTCTAAGTAGCTCTCTGGATGAATTTTGGAAGACTTACATTGTCTTTCTCTTACATATCTCAATTTTTGATACACCACTACTTAGGTATGAGGAAAAAACACCAGGGTAAGAGTGGAAATCACCCATTACAGTCAGTAAACAAAATGGCTGACTAGCTTTTGAAACTGAGTCCCCCTAAAACCAAATTCCCCTGCTGAGTTTATGATTAATCTCTCTATCCAAAACTTTATTCCCTTTCTTGTCCCCTCTGACCTCAATTCTGTGCTAACTGAACATTAATCAACCAGAGTCAGATGACTAAACCTGCCGTTGTTAACAACATCATTAATGTACTAAAAGTGCCGTTGTAGATAACATCGCTAAGGTAAAAACTCAGATTGTTTCCCTAGGGCAAGATGAGCTAATAGACCCCCAAGCCATGGACCACCTGGCCAGAGAAATGTAAACCAGAGACATCCTGACACCCAAAACTATGATTAAGAAACATCAAAAGATGATGATTAACCCCAGCTTCTTTGTTCCTCCCCTTTAAAAACCCTGAACTCAAAGACCAAGTTGGAGTGGATCTGAGACTTGTTCCCCACTCCCTTGCTTGGTGCCCTGCAATTAAACACTAACTTTGCTGCAAACTCCCACTGTCAGAAATGGTTTTCTGTACCATGGGCACACGAGCTCTTGCTTGATTACAACACTGCACTTGGGCAAGTGACTAATTTCAAATGAACCTAACTGCTGTACCAACTATACTTCTGACTCAGATGGAAATAATTCCTCTTACCCTTTCCTTTTCAACACTACCCAAATTGTTTTTCTCTATATGTCAAAGCAAAAGTTTATATAAGCCTAGATAAACCACCTAATTTCCTTGGGGCTTTACATCTTAAACACTAAGGCTGAGCCTGTATTTCTCTTGCCATCTCCAAACCTAGCAAACTTAAGACGCACATCTAAATAATGGCAAGCAGAGACACTTGATTCCAATCCTACTCCCATCCCCTTCAAAATAAAAACAGGCTTCCAGCAATCTTCTCAGGTGTCACCAGTTTTCAGATACCACTGACAGGAAGAAGTCTTCTTTATTTCTAGCTCACATATACAGCTTTCTCCCAGCACAGGCTCAGCAGCCACACCTCTTCACTGTAATTTGTTCCCAAACCCAGACTCTGAGCAGATAAATCCAAGACAACAGTGTCACCTCCTAAGACTGATTATTTGAACCCACTTCTAGTTAAAATGTGTGTATGTTTTAAATCCATTTGAGCAAACAGAGCTATGAAAATGCTTCCTGAAACAGGTAAGAACTGCCCCTCAGGTGGATGAGATGAACGTACCCAGAGACCCAAGAACCAAATGATTTAATGATGGACTAACTAGAATTGTTGGTAGCCCGCAGGATGGCTCCTTGAGGGATCAGCAGCAGTTTTCCTTTTCCTGAAGGGTTCTTGCTATTCGTTGTAAGGTAGAGTTTAGTGCCAGGAGGCAAATTTGCCAAGTTGGCCAAATTAGTGGCTGGCAGCTGCAATGTCGCCATTACTAAAATGGTGAAGGGAATAAAGGGAAAAAAAGAAAGAGGAAAAACATTAAGATAAACTGGAACTGAGGGCAATGCTATCTCTAAAATTAAAACATACACAGAGTAATAAAATACTTATTCAAAAACACTAACAAACAATAAACTCTACAGTTTGCTTCCTAGATGCACAGTGCTTTAAAGGCTGACATTTTTCATTATCTTGCTAATTAAAATATTTACATACTAGAAGAGCCTGCTACAAACTATAAAGAAATTTATATCTGTATATAGAGTGACCATATGTCCTGGTTTGCCCAAAGCCGTTACCATTTATACCTACGTCCCACTATAATTAATAGTGACTCTTAACTCTCAAAAGTACTGTTGTTTAGACAGTCAATAAAATAATCACCCTCTCTATGGATGAATACACATTTGATTCTCATTTGTTTAAAGCCCCTTTATAGTCAATTTCTAGTAACGATGTATCTACTGATTTGAAACAAGACTTCTAGTCTCCCTCACTTTCTAAGAACTAAAAAATGCTACAGTCAACAATTGGCACATATACTATGAAACTATAATTCATCTTTTGAAAGTCTCACCTATGTCAAACAGCTTTCACTTACCCCGTAGAATTTACTTCTCGATGCACATGGCTGTGAAACCCCTAAACATGAAAACTTTCTGCAGTTACTTTGTATTCGAATCTCCAGGAACTGAAGCCTACAGGACCACGTGAGTCCCACAGGGAAAGGACTCTCAGCCTCCTGCCACCTGCTAGAGTAGTCCCTCTCAGGACCACTTCACTGTGCAAAGCTTTGGGAGGCAGGAACCCTGGAAGCTGCACCCAATATCAGGGACTGATATTAAACTGAGGGCCATCCCTCTTCATTATGACCAGAACTAATCTCATCTTACACCACTGTGCATCGCAGCCACGCCAGGACTGCAGACCTCTCTGCCACCCGCACCCGGAGTCCCATCTCCACACGGCTCACGGTCCCTGATCTGAACCCATCTCCTCATGCTTTCTTCCTTCCCTGACTCTTTC